AAAAGGTTAGGGCCAAAATGTTGGCTTTCCTTGTAGCCCTCCTTTTTCTCTAATTTTGGTCTGCAAACTTAGGTTGTTAACCATCCAGAAGACAAGCTTATTGTTGTTATCATACAGCTTGGATTCTTAATTATCCTCCTTTGTTCAGCCTCCCCAGCACTGGGATTACAGGTGTGTGCCGCCACACCCTGTCTCGGGATGCCTGGAGGCGGGACCAGTGCAGCATGTGGTGCCAGGGATCAAACACTGGTCCCTGTACTTGCCTAAACAGGCGCTTAGTTTGCTGAGCTGTCTCACCAGCCCTACTTCTATCAAGGTTTCAAGGAAGAGATCCTTTTAATTTCATTAAAATAATTCCAGAAACCAAAGAAAATACTCCCTAATTTACTTTGAAATAAGACAATTTACTTTGAAAATAGCATAGTAGGGCTTGGAAGATAGCTTGGCATTCTAAGCGCCTGCCTGGCAAGCGCAAGGACCCAGGTTTGATCCTTGGTACTGCATGCTGAGCCAGCCCTGGAACCCTGTGCGTACCATGCCAACCACTGAAACTGGACTTGGGGTCACACACCTGTAATCCCAGGGCTGGGGAGGCTGAAACAGGAGGATCACTACTTGTCTGAGCTGTGTAGCCAGACCATGTACCAAATAAATAAAATATTTAAAAAAGAGCACAGAAAAGAAAATTACAAAATGATTTTACCTACATAGATATAAAAATACCAAATAAAAGTGCTGGCCAGCTAGTGCAGCAGATTAAAGACCCTGTTTAGGCAGACTCAGGAGCCGGGGGTTTCCCCCTCCTCCCCCTTTTCCCTGCTGGCCCTGCCCCCGAGCCATGCTGAAAGGCGATTGAGACTGGGTGTGGTTGCACGCGCCTGTAATCCCAGGGCTTGCAAGGCTGAAAAACAGGAAGGATCACTACAAATCCAATCTGTGCAGTGAGACCCTTTGTACCTTATGTACTAAGTACATAAAAAAAACAAATAAAGTATTAGTAAACCAAATCCAGCCATGCATAAAAAGATTTGTCATATGTTATTAGACTAGTCATAGAAATGAAAAGAAGGGCTAACATTTAAACACTGAGTATTTGTTTTTTATTTTTTAATTATTTTTTGCAGTACTGGGGATTGAACTCAGGATCCTGTGCTTGCCAGGCAAGTGCTTATTCTACTGAGCTGTCTTCTCGGCCCCCAACACTGAGTAGTTGAGTGAGAAGAACACAACATACACCCCAGTGAGGAGGAAATTCATATGCTAATAACATACAAAGTGATGCTCAGCTTCGTGAGTGACCAGAGAAAAGCAGTGTCGGGCCACAGTGACATTTTATACTAAGAGCTTATTGAAGAAGAATTTTAAAGTTTAACAAAACAGAAATACATGTAAACCCACCTCTCCCACTCATGGGTCACAATACTCCATGTACCGTTAGTACTGCACAAGATGATCTATTGATTCAATCAGTAAATTACTGATACAACCTCTATCAAAATCTCAGTGATATTTCCTGCAGAAATACAAACATTCATCCAAACATTCATGTAAAATTTCAAGGGGCCCCAAATAAGCCAAACAACCTTGTAAGATAAGAATAAAGCCAGGAGAGTCACACTTTCTGATTCTAAACTGCAGGGCCACAGTAACCAGTGTGTCCCTGGCAGATGGATGGACATATAGAGCAGTGAAGTAGAACGGAGAGCCTGGAAAGAAGCCCTGTCCTGCAGGAATTTTCAACATTCAATGAAGAAATGATGGTATTTTTCAACAAATGGTGCCAGGAAAACTAAATATTCATATGCAAAAAAAAAAAAAAAAAGAAAGAAAGAAAAAGAAAAGAAACTAGATCTTTATCTAACACTATATGCAAAAATTAACTCAAAGTGGGCAAAATGCCTGAGCAGAAGGCCTATAACTTTAAAACTCTTGGTAAGAAACAGGAAAATTTTGTGATACTGGATGTGGTAATGATGTTTTTGGGGGGATGTGACACCAAAGACCTGGAAACAAAAAGTACACAAATTAGACTTCATGAAAAAATTTAAATTTTTCATCAAATCCAGGGGTGCTGTGCTTCTGAGCTATATCCCTGTTTCTTTCACAGAATGTGCACTTTGAGACAAGTTCTTGCTGAGTTGCTCAGGTAGAACTTGACCTTTCAATCCTCCTGCCTCAGCTTCCCTAACTCCTGGGATTATAGACATGAGCCACCACACCTGGGTGCAGAACATATATTTCCCAAGACATTAATGTTCAATCCGTATAAAGAATGCCTTAAACACAACAGTAATAATAAATAACCCTGTTCAAAATGGGCCAAGAACTCGAGTAGATATTTATTCAAAGAAGATATACAAATGACCAATAAGCACATTGGTATGTTTTGTGTCTAGATAGGCCCCCAAAACCTCATGCAGTCATGGGGCCTAGCTTTTCAGAGGTGACTGAATCTAGAGTTTCCGACTCAGTCATGGTCCCATGCTGGGATTAAGGGTATGAGTAGTAACTCCACCATAGGGCAGGTAGCCTGCATACAATATAAGGACCAGAAAGAGGCTTTTTCTGTCTCCGTCTTTCTGACACTGCCTCTGACTCTTTGCCTCTCTCTATTTGCTTTTGCAAGTCCACTGCCATGAACTGTTGCCCTCTTCCATGCGCCACCTGGCCTTCGCTGATTATGAACTGAAACCTCTGCAAACTGTGAGCTAAATAAGCCTTTCTCTCCTTAACTTGGGAGTGTTGGGTATTTTGTCTCAATCTTGAGAATAACTAAGATACACATGACTCTAACATTACTAATCATAAAGGTAATGTAAACCAAAGCCACAATGAGATACCAGCTCATATACATTAAGGTGACCACTTTATATAAAAACAAACAAACAAAATAGCAAGTATTGGTGTAGATATGGAGAAACTGGCATGCTTGTGCACTATTGGTGGTAAAATATAAAATGGTACAGCCTTATAGGAGACAGTATGGCAGGTCTTCAAAAATTTAAATGAGAATTACCATATGGTCCAGAAATTTTGCTTCTTGATATATACACTAAATAATTGAAATCAAGTCTCAAAAGTTATTTGCACACTTGTGGTTTTAGTATTATTCATAAGAGCTGAAAGGCAGAAGCAACTCAATGTCTATAAAAAAACATAGTATGAACATACAATATTACTTAGGTTTTAAAAAGGAAGGGAATTCAGATGTATGAAATGGATGACTCTCTAGGAGATTATCTTAAGTAAGTTAGTCACAAAAAATCCAAAGTATGAATGATTTCATTTCTCTGAGGTACATACTGTGGACAAAATTACAGATGGAAGATAGAACAGTAGTTGCCAGTCACTGGGTTGGGGAAGAAAGAATAGGGAATTACTGTTCGGTGGGTGTAGAGTTGCAATTTTATAGGGTTTTGGAAATAGGTGGTGGGGATGATTGTATTTAATATATCTAAAGGACATCCTTAAGACTGACTATGCTAGTGCATTTTGTCATGTGTATTTTATTTATTTATTTATTTATTTATTTATTTATTTATTTATTTAGTACAGGATCTACAGGGTCTCACTAGGTAGATCAGACTCATAGTGATTCTCCTGTTTACAGCCTCTCAAGTGCTGGGATTACAGGCACACACCACCATACCCAGTCTCAGTTGCCACCTCAGCACACCCCAGGAGCAGGGCCGGCACAGCAGGCCTGGGGGTTGAACCCCCAGCCCCTGTGACTGTCCAAACAGGCTCTTTAATCCGCCGAGGTATTTGGCCAGCCCCTGTCATGTGTATTTTATCAAAACCTTTTAAGATAAAGCTAAACAAACAAGTGAAAAAGCCCAAATATAGTCATATAGTTGAAGTTCAGGAGAGCTGTTACCCAGCCAATGACGAGGGAAGAGTAAACGGTGGGACAGTCAAGGAGAACATGGAGAGATATAAAATATTGGCCATATTATAGGTTTTACAATAAATTAAATTAATATTTATATAGATAAACATGTAGATATAACCTAAAAATCATAGTCAAGCTAATACTGTCTACTTGAGGGTAGGTCCGAATGTATAAAGTAAGTAAGGTTATGAAAACTGGCCCGTCTCTCAAGCCCTCATGAGCTAACACCTGCATTGTATTGTTCAGGCTTGATTTGGCATCTTGGGATGTGCGACAAGGTTATTTATAGGAATTCTGCCCTGGGGAAGACAAGAGGGAGGCGAATGGTCTTCAAGCACTGGAGGGCTGCTGCACAGAAGAGGGATAAACTTATTCCTTCAGACTGCAGAGGACAGAAATAGACCCAGAGCCTGCGAATGTTGGAGGGTGCTAATGATGGCGACAATATGAGTTCTTTGCCCTCCAAAGGAGGGATTGCCTTTCCCAACCTTTGGCCAAAGAGAAGTCCTTTAGGGCCTTTCCATTTTCTGGTCAGAAATGGGGGGAATCTAAGATTTCTGCACAGTCTACTAAAATATAAAAATGAAAGTGAATTTATACTAAATGAGAAGTAAATTCTTGCAAAATGTGTGGTTGATGCTCTATTTTTTTAATTGGTGGACACAAAGTCTTTCCCCACTCTACTACTGCATTTGCCACCAATCACATAATAACTTGTGGCATTTCCTACATGGCTATTGATCATTTCTAGTGTTGATGGCTCGTTTTTCCAATTCGGATGTAAACTTCTTGAGATACAGGATTGTCTTACATCCTTTGCATGTTCCACAGTGCTTTTCACAGGATGGGAGCTCAACGTGTGGGCATTTGATGGCTGATTGCCAAGCTGTCTGTTGATTTCATTCATTCATTTACTCACTCAACAGTTCTTTACTGAATATGTACTTTGCTCGTAAGGAGGGTGAAAGCATCGGATGGTGGTGCCTTTGGAGAGAAGAGTTATCACTCCCTACAGGTTGAGTACTAGGGCTCATCTTCAAGAGCCCTCTTCCCTTATTTCCAGAGAACAGGCCCAGTAGATCATGGGGGTACCACCCAATGTGTTCACCTGGGTAGATCCTGAAGAATCCAGTTGAGCTGCCAAAATATTGCCAGGTCAGTGTAGGATCTCTTTGGAAGTTCTCCACAAAAACAGGATTCAAGGCCTCAGACATGTAGACTCCATTTAAAATGTCTGGATCTGAGGGGTGAAGTGACAAAAGGAATTTTAGAGGAAACAAGCAGAAAGCAGCAATGACCAAATGTTCACATGGTAAACACACATACGTGTGCGCGCGCGCACACACACACACACACACACACTGCAGTCCTACAGTTTAGAACATCTTTGTGCATTGAACATGAAAAGTCACACTCACATGCTCTAATCCAGATGCACTGAGTTTTCTCTTAGCCCATGTGCTGCGGCTTGAGCGTGTGTCCCCAAGGATTTGTGTGTTGGAAGCTCAGCTCCCAGCGTGGCAATGTGAGAAGTACTAGAGCCTCATGGGAGGTGATGAGAACATTACCTTGGGAAATAATTTTTGTACTTCTTATGGGATCCTAATTAGTTCTGAGAGAGCTGTTATAGAAGAGCACACCTGGCTCCTCTACACTCTCAGGCTTCCCATCTTGCCTTGTGATCCTTTCATGGTGTCATCTACCATGTTGTGATGTAAGCAGAGGGCCCTGCCCAGAGCCAGTGCTATGTTGCTTGGAATTTCAGACTCCCAAGTGGTTAGCTAAGCCCTTTTTCCTTATAAGTGGCTCAGCCTCAGGTATTTTGTCATACCAATGGAAAACAGACTAACACACCATGATGATGTAAAATAATTTTCTCTCATCTTCTGTTAAGAAGGCCAGAGAAACAGTGTATGGTTCTGTTTCCCAGGGAAATGGAGACAGTTGTGAAAAACCTCCATTATCACCACCCCACCAGCAACTTTCAAACAAAGAGGAATGACCTTTGTTGTACACATTGGTGGGCAGTTGCACGTTGCTGACCGAAGTGTTTACTCTCAGGTTGCTGAAGTGTGCATTGGACTCCAGGATGAACTCAGCACCCAGCTCCACAAAGTTGCCTTTGTCATCTTTCTCATTGATCAGGACAGAGTTGTAGTAGTCAAACTATGGGTGGCAGGGAACAACCCCAACAGAGATAGACACACAGGGATGTGTAGAGTGAGAGGGCGAAAGAGATGGTTCACAGGAGAGGACTCTAACAGGAAAGGTGGGATATGGTAGACTGGGGCATCCACACATGCTCTCCTGGGTAGAGAATCCAGGCAAAGGTCAGGCTGATTCAGGGACAACCGGTGTCCCAATATTGGAGCAGATGGTTCTCTCTCTCTCTCTCTCTCTCTCTCTCTCTCTCTCTCTCTCTCTCTCTCAATGTATTTTGTGCAGGGTCTCACTATGCAGCTCGGACTCATAGTGATCCTTCTGTGTTCAGCTTCCCCAGCACTGGGATTACAGGTGTGCGCTACCCAGACTCAGTCGCCGGCTCAGCACACCCAGGGCAGAGCCAATGCAGCATAAATGTGACGCTGGGGATCGAACCCTGGTCCCTGCACTTGCCTAAGCAGGCGCTTAGTCCGCTGAGCTATCTCGCTGGCCCAGAGAGGGCTCATTTTGGTGTAAGTTGTCCTGATAATTGTTTTGGCTCTCCACTGGATTTAGCATGCATGGACACAACCAGAGTTGGAGATAGAGAGGACACTCAAGGAGAGGTGAGAAGACACACAGCCTCATTGGTACTGTCACTTTCTCCCAAGGGTAGGAAGAGTCTCAGGGACCCAGACAGTGCCCAGGAGCCTCTGGGCTGTAGTTCCTGTATCCCACTCCCAAGAACAGGAGTCCTCTTTATGCCTCTTATGGGCAGTGGAGGAGGATCCACTTTGATAACTACCTTGGAGTTATAAGCAGATTCCCTTCCCTTTCTCCATGCCACAGGGCTCACCCTGTGTCACCACAACACAGCCACTGTGTCACCTCAGCACACCACGCCACCCCGGCTCCATCTTACGGTCCTATGGCCAGCAAGAGCCTTCTAAAGCACATGCCTAGCTGTGTCCCACCATCCCACCCCCAAGTCTGACCCTCCCATACTTATCATTCCTTAATCAGCAAGACCAGATCCTGGTTTGGGCCTTCAAGGACCCCGCCATGTTTCCCAACACCTCTCCAAGACCACCTTGTTCTTCACCATCCTCCGCCCACAGAGTGGACCACACACTGTAGTTTGTGTTTTCTTGTTCCTGCTTCTTCTCCCTTCCCTCATCCTAGGGATCCTTTGCCCTGCCTGTCTGCCCAGATCCCAGCAGGCTGAGGCCCAGCCCTCCTCCCCTCCCCCATTCTCATTCTTGTGCCTTTGACACTCACCTTCGCTGGGAGTTACTCTGCTTGTGAACTCCTTGAGGCTGAGAACCTGTCTCACTCCCAAGGCCAGCAAATGGCTTTGCACATGAGGCGGGAGCTGAATAGTCCTCATGTATAGGATGAGTTGATTCCCACTCTGAGACCCACTGGCTATGGTTTTCCCCCACCCCTGGGGTACCCATCAAACCCTCCCAGCACCAGTTCTGGGAGAGCACTCACTACCAGGGATGCGTTGAATTCGTGGTTCAGGTCAGCCTCCTCAGCAGCCTCCACTAGACTCTGAGAGACGGGAATGCAAAGGAGAGAAAGCAGGTGGGTGAAGGGTGCTGTAGGTCTGAGGTAAATGGAACAGAGTCATCACATGACCCATCAGCTCCTCCCCTCTTCTCCCCTCCCCTCAACTCCTGTCCTCTCCTGTCCTCTCCTCTCCCCTCCCTTCCTCTCCCCTCCTCTCCTCTCCTCTCATTTCCTCTTTCCTCCTCTCCTCTCCTCTCCCCTCCCATCCCCTCCTATCCCCTCCTGTTCTCTCCCTTCCCCTCCCTTCCTCTCCTCTGCTCTCCTCTCCTCTATCCTCCTCCCCTCCTCTCCCCTCCCCTCCTCTCCTCTCCTCTCCCCTCC